AATAAATATCAAAAGTGTAAGTCTTTGTTTTACTATGGTTGCAAATATCAAAAAATTTCTATATGTGACACAGCACCAGAGTTAAGTTAGGGTTTTTCAAAATGCTGACACGCCGAGCTCAAAAGGTTCGCCATCACTGTTCTAGAGGCTGCCTGCATTCTTGGACCTGTGGCCCTCCATCTTCAAAGCCAGCAACGGGGCATATTCAAATCAATCAAGTGGGTGTGGGTGTGTGCGTGCATGTATGTGGTGTGGTGTGTAGTGTGTGTGTGTGTGTGTGTGTGTGGTGTGGTGTGGTGTGGTGTGGTGTGTAGTGTGGGCTCTCTACTTCTCCAAAGCCAGCAGCAAGGCTTATTCAAATCAATCAAGTGGTGTGTGTGTGGTATGTGACCTCTACTTCTATTTTCACATACCCTTCTCTGACCCTCTTGTCTTTCCCCTACAAGGACTCTTGTGGTTCCACTGGGTCTGCTGACATAATCAAGGGTAACTTTCCAGAGTAAGATTAGGGTTCTCTCGCTAATAATAATAATATTGGTGTTGGCAATATTCTGTGATAAGGCTCATTATTTCACTTTTGTCACTCTTTCTAGCAAGACTGCTGATCAGAAAGTGGCCAGCGTGATGGATTAGAGTGGCTGTTACCAATAAGGGAGTGGGCAGCTCCAGAATAGGAGAACTATGGTTGACATCCTGATTCTCAGGTCTAGGCCAGTGGTCGGCAAACTGCGGCTCGCGAGCCACATGCGGCTCTTTGGCCCCTTGAGTGTGGCCACGAAGTTCCAGTCATACTGTACCTGTGCACCCGCACGTGGTATTTTGTGGAAGAGCCACACTCAAGGGGCTGCAGTTTGCGGACCACTGGTCTAGGCCAGAGATGGCGAACCTTTTGAGCTTGGCGTGTCAGCATTTTGAAAAACCCTAACTTAACTCTGGTACCGTGTCACATATAGAAATTTTTTTATATTTGCAACCATAGTAAAACAAACACTTATATTTTTGATATTTATTTTATATATTTAAATGCCATTTAACAAAGAAAAATCCACCAAAAAAATGAGTTTGTGTGTCACCTCTGACACACGTGTCATAGGTTCACCATCACTGGTCCAGGCTAATGGACAGTGTGTACTCAGGGCCTGGAGATCACCATGGAGTGAAGAGTTAGTTGAACAAAGAAGAAAGGATTGGGAAAGGAGAAAGAAGAGGCTGTGATTAGAAGAGGAAATTTCAGGCTGATGTAAGGCAGTTACCAATGCTCGCAGTCTGAGGTGTGGCTGTCCTTAACTGGCATGGAAAATAGGTTATTATGGTTGATGTATAGGAGCTATGGAAACAAGGTAATTGAACAGGATGATGTCAGGAGATCACGGTGGAAAGGACCATTGAATTGGAGAGGAAAAACCAAGATACTCATCAAATCAGTAAACAGAGGAGGAGGATTGGTGTCAGTGCACAGGTTTACCTCCACCTGAAAAGGCTGTTTAGCTATCAAGGAAATAGTAATGGCAGATATTTATTGTATACAATAGTCAACAAACTATTTTTTATCATCTATTGATGGACATCTAAGTAGTTTCTATGTCTTGCTATTACCAGTAGTGTTGCAATGAACATAGGAGTGCATTTATCTTTTCAAATTAGTGGTTTTTTTCTTTGAATAAATACCCAGAAGTGGAATTGCTGGATCATATGTAAATTCTATTTTTAATTTTTTTTGAGAAATCTCCATGCCTTTTTCCAGAGTGGTTGCACTAATTTACAATCTCATCAATAGTGTACAAGGATTCCCTTTTCTCTACATCCTTGCTAAACCTTGTTTGCTGATTTATTGATGATGGCCATTCTGTTAGGTGTGCGATTATCTCTTCGTGATTTTAATTTGCATTTCCCCGACGACTAGTGATGTTGAGCATCTTTTCATATGTCTATTGGCCATCTGTCCTCTTGGGAGAAACGTCTCTTCAAGGTTCTCTGCCTATTTTTCAGTTGGAATTCTTTTGTTTAGTTGTTTGAGTTATTTTGGAAGTTAACCCCTATTGACAACATCATTTGTGAGTATCTTCTCCCATTTAGCATGTTGTCTTTTCATTTTGTTGATGGTTTCCTTCTCTGTGAAAAAACTTAAGTCCCATTTTTTTATTTTGTTTCTTTCCTTTGCAGAGATATAGCCAAAAAGATACTGCTAAGAGCAATGTCAAAGAGTTTACCGCCTACATTTCCTTCTAGGAGTCTTATAGTTTCAGGTCTAACATTTAAGTCTTTAATCCATTTTGTGTTTATTTTTGTATATAGTGTGAGAAAGTGATCCAATTTCATTTTTTTTTGCATGTATCTGTACAGTTTTTCCAATAATACTTAGTGAAATAATTCTAACTCCATTGTTATCCTTGCCTCCTTTGTCATAGATTGACCATAAAAGCAGGGATTTATCTCTGGGTTGTGTCTTTGATACCATTGATCCATACATCTATAGTTATGCCAGAACAATACTGTTTTAATTATGGTAGCTCTGTAGTATAGTTTGTCATCAGGAAGCATAATATCTCCCACTTTGTTCTTCTTTCTCAAGATTGCTTTCACTATTTGGGATCTTCTGTGGTTCCATATAAATTTTAGAATTATTCTAATTCCGAGAATGCCACTATTTTAATAAGCATTGCATTGAATCTGTATATTATTTTAGATAGTAAGGACATTTTAACAATATTAATCTTTCCAATCCATGTGCAAAGTATATAAAATTACTTTAAATACACTATTTTAAAATAATTTTAGAGTTACATAAAAAGTTGTCAGGATATAGAGAACTTATTTCCTTCATCCAGGTTCTTGTAACTTAACATCTTACATAACCATGTTATAATGGTCAAAACTAGGAAATTAACATTGGTGCAATAGTGTTAATAAAATTAGACTTCATTCAGGTTCCTGCAGAACCCTAATGTCATTTAAAGGGTGCAATCCAGAATGCTGTGTTGTATTTAGTCATCATGTTCCTTGGTCTCCTCTGATCTGTGACGTCTTGGTCTCTTCTTGTTTTTCACCCGTTGATACTTGAAAGACTACTCTCAGGAATTTTGTGGAATGTCCCTCAATTTGGGTTTGTCTGATGTTTTCTCCCTAATATGCTATGACAAGCACACTTAAGCTGTGTATTCTCAAAAACACAAACCATTTTCTCTGGGCTTGTGTTTTTGAGAATACACAGAGAGCTTAAGTGTGCTTGTCATAGCATATTAGGGAGGCAAATTGTTCCAGTTTTGGTCATTGGGCAAAAAGTGGTTTTACATACATTACTTATTGATGACTCCAACCATCCAATGAGGCAGGTATTACCATTATCTTCCTTCTGTATAAAGGAAACTCAAGCTCAGAGAGAGTAAGAAACCTTTCCAATCATTCATATCCTATGTGTGCAGCCAACCGTCTGACTCCAGAGTCTGTGTGCTTGGCTTTGCTACGCTCTCAAAGGAAAAGAATGCTCCATAAACATCGGAGATAAGGTTTCTTTTTATCTTGTGTTTTTTAAAAATATATATTTTATTGGTTTTTTACAGAGAGGAAGGGGAAGGGATAGAGAGTTAGAAATGTTGATGAGAGAGAAACATCAACCAGCTGCCTCCTGCACACACCCTACAGGGAATGTGCCCGCAACCAAGGTACACGCCCTTGACTGGAATCGAACCTGAGACCCTGCAGTCCGCAGGCCAACACTCTATCCACTGAGCCAAACCAGTTAGGGCTATCTTGTGTTTCCTTAAAGAGGTAAAAGTTAGCAGTTGCAGAGGGATGAGTTCCAAAGGGACAGTATGTGGAGGTAGAGAAAGAACCACAAATGGTCATAATCAAGCCTGTTGCTAGGTGGGAGTGGTGGGGAGAATAACAAAGAAAAGTGGAAGGTGAAGGGCAACTAATATGGAAGCAAAAAGGGGGAAAAATGTTCATTGAGGTGCATCTTGGTTGCAGGGCCATTGAGAATTAGCCTATGGTAAGAAGGGAGTTAGTAAGCTTCAACAAAACAATACATAGAAGGGTAGAAAACAAAACCAGCTTTCAGATCAAAAATTGTTTTAGAGACAGGAGGTAAAGAAGTAATTTAATAAGAAAAGGAATGCAGGAGGGACGAGTTTTTTTCCCCCAGGGTTCTTGAGAAGAAGAGAAAGCTCTGGACTAGGGAAATGTAAATGCTAAATGCATGAAAACTGCAAAGGAAGGGTGTGAACCTTGGAGTTAGGGGAACCTGCCTCCCTATTGGAGGTGAGCCTAACAGACCAAGGATAGTGGTATTGTTGAGGTGAAGGTACAGACACACCTAGGATGTTATGGATTTTTATTTGCTGGTCTTCAGTAGTAAAACTGGAGACAAGGTCACCGGCACACATTGGAGAAAACTTAAGAGAGGTGTTACCTCGTCTTAGAGGTAGCTAACATCCCTGGCCAGTGCTGGGCAGGCTGGTGAAAACAGGGCAAGCTAACATCATGAAAAAGACTCAGTATTGGTTTTTCTAAAATGTTCGAAATTAAATGTGATGCTAACTTGCTATTAGGTCGTTGAGAAAAATATCTAATTATTGTAAAGGATCAGCCTAAAACAACAAAATATAATTACTGCTAGAATAAAATACTGTTTTTCTCGGGAATTTTTCTTAAGACAATTTTTAATTACAGAATTCTTGGTGTTTAGCAGTTATAAATTTAACACCAAAGGCTTAGTGTTCCATTTGTATGTGAGAGTGTGTAGGTTGTGGACAGTATATTCTGATCTGAGCACTAAATATGACATGGGTTAGGGTTAGAATCATTCACTTCAGAAGCATTTTAAATCTGTAATGTTCCTGAAAGGGTTTTTTATATATCCAGGGGCAGAACTTTGTAAGTAATTTATTAATTACCGACAACATATCCTTCAACATTAGAGACTGCCTTTAACATAGTTATAATACTATACAATAAATACTAACATCCTTTATATGAACCAGAATTTACATTAAACAATATCAATATTTGGTGATTATTTATTACCACATATCATTACATGCAATTTTATTTAATAGTAAGGATATTATAAATCATATATTTTTTAAAAAAATGTATGCATGGCATATGTAAAGCAGTAATATTTAGAAGGAAAGACAAAACCCTTAAAGCATTTACCTACAAGTTAGTAATACTGAAAAACACTACGTCTGTGCATAGTAATGATTGAAAGCTCCATAATACAGCAGAACACTGGTACATGTTAAGTGAGAACCACTTGTACCGGAAAAGTTCAAATCAGACGCATCCAGGTTCTTAGAAGTGCATACCATCTAAAAAGAAACCCCTCAACACAGAGTTTTCTCTTCGTTTTGGCAACTCAGCAATGCAGACAAAGATGTATTTGGTTTGGTTTATTGTGATTTTGTTCTTAGATAAGCTTTAGTTATGGAGATAAAAATATACAATATTACTTTAAAATTTTTAATTTTATAAGTGTATAATTGCTTGCCACCATATTCACAATTTTAAAAGCCTATCTTCCACTAAACAGGACATCCAGTGACATGAAGGAAGACTAACAAAAATGCTGTAAGACTTTCAATGAAAAGTTTAAATGTAAAAATGGATTATTAATCTAGACCCTCTGGTCTAATGACTAAATCTTTAATGACACCTCATGCTGGAAACAAAATATGAAATGTTTTAGGCAAATTTGTTGTTTTCAATACTTACACTGATTCTACAGATTCAAAACTTTGACTGAAAATGCATAGAACTGACATACATATTGTCTGAAGCAACTTTTATGTACATTAACTTACAAAAAAAAAAAAGGAAGAAAAATGTATGTTAATCCTACATCTCAGCTTAGGATTCCATCATGTTTTTATATAATAAATTCAAGATCTGTCTTACACCCTTGACATCACAGTTGAATAAAAGAATGTCAGATGGTGGCACTTCTTTTAAATCACCTGAGGACAGTAGTTAGTAGGGTGATTAATTTGCCTTACTGATAATAAAGATCACTCTACCATAGAAATAACCTAATGTTTGAAATTAATAAAATTGCACAATTATTTTTTTAATACCAACTTAAATGGGTTGCATTCACTATTTGATAAAATATGTAAAACTCAACTTATTTATGTGCATATAAAATATTTTTACATGAAAAATTCAAAATATTTTACAAATAATTTTGTTCACTATAAAGCATACAATGCACCATTCATTTCATTCATAGCAATACTTTGCACCAAACATTGCTATATTCAATCTTAACAATCCTCAAATATGAGAAAAAAAAGTTTTCACTGTACTAATAAGTGAAATTTATAAAGTCAACATACTATTATCTTAAAAGATTACAGATGTAAAACAGTTTGTGAAAAATGTACATACACTGAAATGGGTGCTTTGCTGTAATTTACTCAATGGCCCAGAAACCAAGCTCCTGCTCTTCATTGTAGGTTGAGAAACGTGGTCACTTTAGCAGATTTTCATGCCGCACCATTCAACTACCAGGGTAGAGACTTTAGCAGAGGTAAAGGGCGGTATATCCTTTTTCTGAAAACACTGTTGACATTTTAGTGCTGCTATTAATAGTTACATAATAATTAAAAAATAACCTGAAAAGACATTTTACTTAAAATTTTTTCAGTGTAAGGCACAGAGCAACATTTACAGTCTAAGCACTAGATTATATAATAAATAATTATCTTTTTAATCATTATTTGTTCTTTACCTGAAGAAAATGGGTAAGTAGTGCAGTTAAAACATGCCTGGATTAAAAAAATGATTTTGAATTTAAGAAATGCAAATACTATTTGTGTAAAATGTTATTAATTTTTTAAAAAAGCATTATTTTATATAAAATATACATCCTACAGTGTTATAGGTAGAAAAAAAAAACTTTGAGGCACTTACATTAACAATGAAGAAGCACCAAACCACTTATTTTATGTATTTTAACATGAGATAAATGCAGAACCTAAAAATATGAGAAATAGTATACTTCTGGTAACTTTGGGTTCATCAGTTGAAAACTCAAAAGCATTTTCTTTTTATCCTGACAGAAGTAATTCCAATAGAGAAAACTTTCTTATTTAAGAGTCTTAAAGTTCCCGTGAATACTTTTGCACAATTTGTGGTGCTCAGAATGTGAAATGTAGATGGTATCTCACCAGCCTGTGGCACATACTTTCAATTTGAATGATTACAGTCTATGTAATTTTGATGTTTTTAATTCCTCTTTGAAAAACATTAAAATGTGGTTTGGTAATAACAATGGGAACAACATACATCAATGCCTCCATGTGAACTTGCTGATGTCCAACATTGACAGTTTAGTAACTATAATCTTCCACCTTTTAAACCAAAACCAAGGTAAAAATTGGGTTTGGAATTACAGGAATCTACCTGATGTCAAATCAGGGAAAGGTCCGGTTTCTGATGGATGGTGAAGGGACTGAAGATGTGTGGTAGTCTGAGAGTTATTTATAGTATTTAACTCAGCTGGATAGATTTCATTTAAAACTCCATTTGGAAACTGAAAACAGAAATAGCAATTTATTAGAATAGATCTTTAAAGTATCTTTAATCATTAAATAAAGTTAAAATGTATTTTTAAAATCTTCACCCAACATGATGTTAAACTTCAAATTACTGTATTATTGCTAAATTTTAATTCATTCAATGAAAACATACTGAGCACATATATTAGCACATTTATAACCTTTTGGTTTCTCTAATAGATGAATAGTGTAACTGTGTCACTTCAGATTTGGCATTCCATATATCAGGAGAGCATCTGATCAGGTGTTGCCTTCAGTTTGGATAGAAACTTATGAGTCAAAAAGTAACAGTAATAAGTAATGTGGGGTGAGGTGAAAGTAGGTATACAATTTGTGAGTACGTGAAACACAGAGTTTATTCTTGTATTATTTTCCATCTGAACAACTATAAACCTACTTTTGCCCTACAATGTATAGTCTCTGTAATAAGTTTACTTTGACCAGATTTCATCTCAAATTCTGGGGACCAGGGAATTTATTGAGATTACTACACTGGAACTGCAGATGACCTAAGTATTTCCTACTATTCATAAAATACTATACCATGGGTATGATATCCTAAACCAATTTCTTATTTGTACTATACTTTTATAATTAATAACCTGATTCTGTAATTAGGACCACTATGATTACTGTCCTAATTTCAGAATCAAGTTATTAAAATGCTTTCTTGCCTTCTTATAATGAAATTGGTCTGGTTTTTATAACTGCTACTGAGAAAGGGGGAAGATGGACACAGAGATAGTTCTGTAGTGTTTTATAGATCACAGAGTCTTTAGACTAAATAATTAGTGAGAATTATAGAAACTTTCAGATTAAAACCAAACCCATAATTCCTTCAAATAAAATTTACCTTTAACACTAGGCTTCAGTAATCAAAATTTTGATTACTTCAAAGATCCTTCAAAACATATTAAATATCACATAATCTAAACCTTCAATGATGGCAACTCTGTCAAGTCTTCAAATGGAAGGTATACTATTTGCCCAAATTACTCTCATCAGTCTAACATGTGCCAGCAATTCTCTTTAAATGTGTTATCTAGAGCAGTGCTGTTCAAAGGAAATGTGAGCCACATTAAAAAGTGAAATTTTAATATATTTTCCTTAACCTAATATAGCCGAAATTCATCATTTCAATATCCTTTTTTCAAATTAAATCTCCAAAATTGGAAAATATTTTTAGTACCTCTTGTCTGGGACTAGCCACATACAGAGTGGCTACCCTGCAGAGAGGGGGAGAGATATAGGTCTACAGAATTCGTATTATTCATTAAGAAGTAGTGAAGGGATCACTGTAGAGAACTCATGAGCTGATGCAAGCCCTGTTCAAAATGTAACATTACACAAGTAAGTTCTCTATCACTTACTCAAGAGTATATGAGTTAAGGTACCGACTCATGATTAACTTCACAGCAATGTTGTGAAATAGACTATAACTAAAGGATGTTAGGAATGAGACTAAGAAAAACCTTCACTGCCCTTTTCTATTACATAACAATGAACTTAATTATAGTCAGGATTTTCTTTAAAACTAAACTTTTAAATACATTTTTAAATGAACTATTTTATAATGGAAAAGCATAAATGCAAACATACTTTATTCCTGGGCGGCCAGAGAGAGCAGATACAATCAGGTTAATTTTTTTTTTTGAAGTGATTGTTTTTTAGTGTGCTTGCTGCTAGAAGGGTTTTGATGATACATTTAAACAGTAAAAATACAACATCAACCTCAAGTCCTGTGGTAGAAAGCTAGCTATATTACCCCTTTAAGAACATCAGAAAAAACACACAATTCACCTGATGGGATAAAAGGAGGCTGTGGCAGATAAGACAGAGGGATTGCTAGAGAACCAAGGAGCCTAGGACTAAATTCCAGGGACCTTCAGAGGCAAAGGCATGCGAAGAAGTATCTTTTAACTCAATTTCAACTATATCCAAAACACCGAGAAAATTATTTTTAAAAATCAAGGAAGGAAAACCAAAATCTCTATTCTAAACAATATATTTGTAACTAATTTTACTGGTAACTTAAGGACATATTCAGCCCCTGATTTCTTTCTCCTTTACAACTCAGCTAAATAGGATATACTTGCGTTCATAACATACTGGAAAAGCACTGGCTTATTAAAAAAAAGTAGTCACGGACATAGTTAGAAATGTTCTGATATAAATGCTGTAGATAATAGATTAAATCAGTCCTGACATTAAATAAATCCTTTTAGGGATTCTTCTTACATGATAAATACATCGTTTGAGAACATCCTTACCTTGGTTAAAAATGCCTGCGGGCCTGGCATGGTTGGACTGTACTGTATCTGAGCCGCATTGCTCTGCTGAGGTTCCAGCTGATATGGGTACATGGACACAGCCCCGGCATAACACGTCTGTGGCGTTACTAGGGAGGACTGTAGATTTAGTTTGTGCTTTTGGTTTTCAGGAGCTTGTAAACATGTGACAAAATCTTCTAAGTTAGAAGTAGCAGTAGGGTATGGGGATGGTTCAAAATTCCCGTGGGGAAAGTCTAATTGTGTCCCCTGAGACTGTTGTGGTAACACAGACGAATTACATGGAATAAAGTTCTGTGTATAAGGCATAATATCAATCTCAGATTTGTGGGGAAACTCTTGATTTGTCCCAGGTAAGTCTGAAAAGACATTATACTGTTGTAGACCTTGCTGAGGACAATTAAAAGGCACAGAGTGGTTAGAGCTCCAATTTGCAAACATGCCATTGACTTGCATATTCTTCATTTTCTGGCACAGTTGCTGCTGCTGCTCCATGGCCACCTGCTTTTGATGCTGCTGCTCCAACTGCAGGTGCTCCTGGACCATACAGCTTGAGTTCAGTGCCCTGGACGGTTGCTGCTGGTAACCTGGACATGCCAAGGTAGACTTATTTAAAGAATCTTGGACGAATGTCAGGATTTCATCTGTTAAGTCAATGTCTCTGAAGTCATTCTCACCAGAAAAGTCAGTTCTGAAAAATTCCTCATTTTGCTGCATGTGTTTAATGTCTTCAAAATCAACACCTAGGTGTTTCATAATGCTGTGCAAGTCACTGTTGTTATTGTCCGGGAAGAGCCCTCCATGACCTTCAGGAAGTGTCGGGTTCATTTCCTGAGACTGACCGATTTGCTCATGTTCCAGGATATCACTTCCCACTGGTGCAATACTGTCCTGCCATTTACTGCATTTGTCCATAGATTCGTTTAAAAAAATTCTTTCGAAAGGATCACTATTTGAAGCAGGACAGAGATAAATAGACTCATCTTGTTGCATAATGGCACTAAAGAGAGAACTGGGATGGGGAGAATCCTTACTGAGAGTTGCCTGGGTAGCAGAATCTTTTCCACTAGCAACGTTTTTAGTCCTTACTGGTAAGGTATCCATCATGGGAGGAAAGGGGTCGGTGGTCTCGTACAACACAGCTTCTCCAGTGGCAAACAGAAAAGGCAACTTCATATTTCGTTTTTTTAGATGCTCTGTTCCTTCTTCATCTCTAAAATTACAAAAACAGCAAGGAAAATACATTGTAATTGAGAGTAGGGAAAAACACTTTTTGACATACGTTTTTCTGTGCCATAAAATTATTTTTTGGAAAAATTTAAATGATTTAGAATGTGTCCTAAAAAACAGTATAGTCATTAGAAAAAAAACAGTAGAGTCATTAGAACAAAGATCCCAATATAAACACAAACTGCAAGAATTTGGGAATATGAGTGGGGGAGACATCTCTAGTCAGAAGCTATAAAGGAAAAGATTAGCATAACTTCAATATGAAAATTGTGTGTGTATACATCATTTAAAACATCAAAACAAGGAATAGTATTAATAAGATGTACAAGATCCAATGAGATAAAGACATAGGTAAATATTACATAACCATGTTCTCTTAAGTATATGTATGTACATTCACCGTGTTCATGAGCTGGAATATTAAGTATTATAAAAATGTTAATTATCTCAAAATGAGCTATAGTTTCAGTGTAATCCCAAATACAGCTGTTTAGGATTACACTGTAATCCCTTTAGATTTTCTGGTGGGAACTGACAATTATTTCTAAAATGTATATGAAAATATAAAGTGGTCAAGAAGAGCCAAGGCAGTCTTGAAGGAGAACAAAAATCCTAAACAAGCAAAATGGAAGGCATACACTTAGATATCAAAAGTGCTGTGATTGCAAAAGTAAACAACCACAAACACATCATCTGATCAAAATGCAGTGCAGTAGAGGAAAGATGGCATTTTCAATAAATGTTACTGATCAGCTGGACATGTATATCCAGCTTTTAAATAGTAGACAAGCTTTCATTTTAATTCAAAAATGCACCCTAATCCATTAATATACTCACCAGGGATGACTTGGGAGGTTTATGATTCCCCCTGCAAAAATTACCTACTACAACCTAAAATATAAACATAAAGCTTTGTGGCACTGTAAATTATGGCTGGAGGCACTGCTTCATAAATATTGTGGGGCTTTAATAGATGTAAAAAGGAAAAAAATGACCTTGATTTCTTATCTCAAGCCACCTAACAAAATCACTTCTGTAGAGAAAATTTACAGTGCACATACTTGACAAAATACTCATTTCCAGAAAATGTAAGAAACTTCAAAATCAATGCTTGCTTAGAAAACTTATGTTAAGCAAAGCAATGATATATTTACTTTACAGACGGCACTAGATTTTCATCTTTCCTGCATATACCCAGCATAAAACCCTGAAGTTTTCTTTATTCTCCTCCATAGATCTACATATTTAGTTGTTCAGTAAAGTTTGTCAATTCTACTTTAACGTTCTTTACCTATGCCTTCTCCTTTCTAAACATATTATTCTAACTTTTTACTTTTTATTTACGTTTAGAATTTAAGTTTTTAAGCAGGACTGTTTAAAGTGTTAACAACAACAACAGCAAGCATTCTGTCTTTGTGCTTACGTTAGAGGCCTCTGAGTTGCAATGATGTAATCTGGTCTTCCATTTTTATAAACCAAGCGGGCGTTAGACTGGATCCAGGTCCATCGGTTGCCTTTGGTAAGAAGCCTGAACACTATCATGCCACTCTCTCCTGTCTTAATCACTAAAATAAAAATTAAAAAATTATCAAACCCAAATTTGACATATTTGTCACCAAAGATAAGCTACTATATATTCCTGTGGCAGCTGCAGAGCAGTTAATGATAAAGGTATGATATTGAGTAGACAATTATTCAAACAGTTTCCTGAAACATGCACTAGGGTATATGCCCTTTTTTGAACATGCTCACAAGGAACTGCAACTTACTCCGCATATGGTACTCAGCACAGTAGAGCATATCAGCAGCATGAAGAAACTGATAACCTGATCCTTTCATGCACAGCTCTGCTTCAGTATAGCCCAAAACAAGTTTTCCTCTGTTAAAAAGATAAAGGAATAAAGTTGAAATGATGTTGTTACTTCATTCATGTTAAATGGTATCAGCTATATGCTATTTGCTGCAATAGGTTTGACTTGACCCTCAGAATTTTACATTAGCAGGTGGAAATCTATGTAACTGCTCTCTTTTGCTTATGGCTGCAAATTTCAGTTTTAGACCATTTTCTTCTCCTGAATAAAGACCATAAAAAAGTTAAAGATAAATCTAACAGAGGAGATTATATAGGAAAACAAAACCTTTAGTAAATATCTAGAATGTTTGTACTCCGTTTTTAAGGGGCAGGGTTGTTCAAACATCTCTCTATTTCCATACTTGAAAAGAGAAAGGCAATGACATGGAGTATGATATTAGGCATTCATATATCAAAACATAATTCTCTGGAAGTTACTAAACTTCCAGGGCTAAAATTCAAATAAAGTTTGTACAATTTAAAATGTCAAACAGCCGAAACCGGTTTGGCTCAGTGGATAGAGCGTCGGCCGGCAGACTGAAGGGTCCCAGGTTCGATTCCGGTCGGGGGCGTGTACCTGGGTTGCGGGCACATCCCCAGTGGGAGATGTGCAGGAGGCAGCTGAGCGATGTTTCTCTCTCATCCATGTTTCTAACTCTCTATCTCTCTCCCTTCCTCTCTGTAGAAAATCAATAAAATATATTTTAAAAAATAAAAATAAAATGTAAAACAAACTAACAATCATCATCGTTATGACATAGAAATTGGGGCAAGTGGTATAAAAAAATTATAGAGTAAGATGATTTGATGAACCTGAAATTATTTTAAAAGGAAGTTGATACTGAAAAAGTATGAAATAACAGCTACTATAACAATGTACAATATTATAATCTGCACTATATGTTTTACATTCCATAAGAGACTTGCTGCATTGTACAATATATACATCTAATAAAAACAAAACTGAAAAAGTTTTACTTACTTGGCATCACAACCAGTAGGGGTAAAGTCTAGTTTGTGTTTTGTTCTGAAGATGAAGTTTTTGGTTCTGATTTCAAGTATGGAGGGCGGCTGAAGTGGAGTAGCTATGGCAAACAAGGCTAACTGAGGGGGAAGCACTGAACCATCTTTCCCTTTCTTGTTCTGGCCGTGCAGGTACTTTAACCTCCCTTGGAAATTCATTGCCTTGAAAACACAAAAGATAGTTCATTAAAATTAACAGTTTAAAATCATTCCTTTTGAAAAGCCTCAGTCCTGGCCACATCTAAGGTTCCTGAAGCTGACAACTGCTACATTCTTTCATTCCTTTCTCCACAGGAAAACCATCCCAAAGTAGTATGAGGACTGTTCTGAAGGGACAGAGAGATGAAGCACTCCTGGCTTTTTAATGGTCACAACAAGAACACCGGTATCATTTTCTAAGTGTGCAAGTGTCCCATCACTGACACCCAGCACAGCTCCTTGTACACTGTGCACTCAATATATATTACCTGACTGAATAAATGGTGATCAAGTACATGCTAATTTTCAAACACACATGAACTATATTCCACAGCTCACAGCATATTTCATAGCACATGGGAATCTTTCATATAAAGATAAAATAGTTTTATTAAAATGACTCCTGAAATCACAAAGAATGCAGAGTTCTATCAGAGTAAAGATAGAGAATAATTGTAGAAGACAGAAGAAACAAAGGCAATTGAAGCAGGAGCATGATCAATTTAGTTGTTTAAAACAGTAATAACCAGGCCAAGGAATAATTCTAATATCAGTATGACAACAGCACAAGACCCAATTACACTCATACCCCATCTCAGAAAATACATACTAATTGATCATCACTACTACGAAAACTATCCCAAAACAATTCTAACTCTGGGTCAGCAACATTATGACATAAACACAAAAATCACTGTTTGCTAATGTTTAAGATTTGATTGTTTCAAATTCCTGATATTTCACAAAAGTAATATACACTATACCTGTAGTCTCTTTCTCCTGTGCTGGTGGGGTGTACTGTATGTTCTGGGGGGTACACTTTGGGATAGCTATGCTGCCCTTTATTTTCTAAATAAAAAACAGGGCAAGTTTTGACACAGATTTGCATGCCTCTTTCAGGTGTCATAGGCAGCCGAGGAAGCCAAATTATTGCAATTTGATGAAGAGCTCTAAGATGAATGGAACTAGGCCTTCTAACAAAGGGTTCGATGATCCTCTCCACTGAGGCTACAGCATAATATGTATCTTTGGTAAAGGCTCTGAAAAGTCCTGCAGTAAGAAAACCCATTTAAAATTTAAGAACTGTCTCCCAAACATATTTGGGCACTTTCTCTTCTGGAGTGTCTCAGTATCCTGCCCAAACTGCTCTGTAATTATCCTACCCAGGTATTCAGACCACACAACAGCATCTCATACCACACGATGATTCTGCAATCATGAATGTACAACCATTTTTCTACGTGGCAGTTATCTTAGGCATGTGGAAAAGGCCAGGGTAATTTCTCTGTCTAGAAGGCATTATATCCAAAGAGAGTAAGCATTCTGCTATTAAAGAAGAGCTACATAGTTCTTCATCATATACCTAAAAAGTCCTAAAAGAAGGCAAAAGACAAGCCTCTAGGTTATTTCCCTTAATCTGTGTGGTTTTGGAGTTATAGAAAAAGATTCAAAAATCACACATGATATTTTAAAAGTGATTTTTCTTAATTACTTGATGAAATAGATTTTTAAAGCCAAACTCAAATATAACCAAAGAATATCTGTTTCATTTAAACGATTTTATTTATATAACTTAGTAGTAAATGACAGGGCCATAAGATTTTGCACCTTACCAGAAAACCAGACGAATTATCCAGCAGACACCGCAGTCGGCATATGAAGCACCTCTCCATAAATGAAGAGTTTTCTGGAGGAAGCTGGTCTGGGTCATAGTAGACCGCTGGCTGGAGGAGGCCATTTGCCTCTGGAGAAATAACAGCAACACAAATTTATTTTCCACTTTGCTGTAAAATTAAGTGTTTACTTGAAATTTATGTTAATTTCTAAATTGGAGTCTACAAGAAGATAATCATTTTCAGAAAAGGAGCTAATGAAAAGAAACTAAAATTTACTGAATATCACTTTTATCTCACAGAACTTTACTCAGTTTTTTAAAATTTCTACTGACCAATTACTGCTCACAGTTTCCCCACTTTCAATGCCACTTTATTTTCTTTTTTAACACTTCCACAAACTTCTGGAAACACTGCTTGCATTGAGAAAAGGTTTTTTTGTGTGTTTTTTTTAATACTTGGATATGCTAGTTTGCTTTTTTCTTAATTGTGTGCCTTTTAAAACACAGAACATTTTACACACACTCCAGAATTGAGCTTGTACATTCCTTCCCATCTTTCACAAGAGTATGAGTAATTTTATAAAATGCATTTCTGAGTATAGCATTTCCCACTTGATAGTCATCAATGGCTGTCATAATATTCCTTAGATATATTCATTTTTATTAATAGCAAATAAAAATCATTACAAATAAACAAAATAATAAAATCACTTTTTTTTTATAGAAAAAGAACATTCCTTAGCTCACCAGCCTCTCTGTGAACTACAGGTACAGACACATGGCTTTCCGCTACTTTCCTACCCTCACCAAGGAGTTCTTTGCCCCTTAGGTTCTCTGCCTCTTTTCATAGCATTATATTAAAAACACCAAAGCTACCTTTTTAAAATTTTACTTATGTATTTTAGAGAGAGAGGGAGAGGGAGGGACATGGATTTGTTGTTCTACTTTTTTATGAATTCCTTGGTTCCTGTATGTGTCCTGACTGGGAATCAAACCCGCAACTCTGGCGTATTGGGATGGCACTCTAACCACTGAGATACCCAGTCAGGGTCCAAAGCTATCTTTTTATAAATATTCTTACCATCAATCCTTTGTCCAGAGTCTGTACATTGCGAGGGGTTCAATGCCCAGTGTAGCTGACGCTGAAATTCAGCTCGGTCTTCAGTATGGATAAGTTCATACACACTCTGATGTATGACATCAGACTAAGGAAAAAAATACAAAGACATAAAATAATAGTACCAATTTAAGAAATAAATATGACATACTAAAGTAATTTCAGAACCTAGCTAGATTAGTGATGAATAAAGCAAATGGCTTGCAATACTCTCCAGTTACCCAAGACAGGAAAAGCTAGAAAGAGACTAGCTCTGCAATTGATAAGCCAGAAGTTATTTGCCACTTCTTCAGTCAAGTCAGTCACTTCTTCATTCCTTAACTACAACATATTACATTCTGCTTATTTTTATCCCCTTTTGATCTTCTAAGTCCTACATTTTTCACAAAACCTTATGGAAATACCCAGTTGTCTCTGACTTCTCTAAGCCAAATAGTACTCATTATGTATTTTCTTCGTTTTCTAACCGTTTTCTATAGACTGAATTACTCTAAGTAGACTCCATAAGAGTAAGGAATATGCCCTTTACCAGGGTAGAATTGTTCTTCCACCACTTGCCTCTCAGCATGTATTCCAGTGATGAGCCCTTAATCCTTAAACCAGTATTTTTCTTTTTTTTAAACTGCAACTCATGGTACTGAATACATTTTCCACCCATCACATATGTACATATAGACACATGGAAGTTTCACAAAACACTTTGTGTGATAACACTGTGTATTCTATTTTATGCCATACTAAGCAACTAAAAAGAATGGTTGATAGTGAATCACTATCAATATCACTGCCCACTAAGGAGTGACAACATGTAGTTCAATGGTGCCTAAGCCACCACCCATGTCAGACACGAACATCTAGGTTAACATATACATATAGGAAAAAAAATAGATTGGGAAATAGCTAATCTCTTTATTTCATGATGGATAGGAATTACAATATCAAATAATTAAGATAACTAAGCAATTAAGTTTCAAACAGGCCTTTCCACAGACATCAGTGTATTTTCTTCATAATTTAAAAAGTCTGAAAGAAATTCTAAGGCTGGGTCAGCAAAATTATCTTCAGGAATATCTTCAGAAATTGTGGTAACAGCTAGTTTCCATTATTTTAGCTCTCTAGAGAAATCTCCCTATGAACTTGACCTTGTAGCATTAAGCTATCTCTGTGACAGCCATTACACAATTGCCAGAGTTATCATCTGAAACACAGATTGGAGTATACACATTTCCTTTAACACAAACCTTTAGTGGCTTCCATTGTGTATAGAGCACAGATTAATCTTCAGTTTATATACTAGTGTGAACAGTGCTTCTCAAACCAGCAGTCAACATCACCTGTGAGCTTGCTAGAAATACAAATGCATGGGTCTCGCCTTCATCTACTGAATCAGAATACTGGGGGGTTTGAGGCCTAAAGACTTTATAAAATGTTATCAAGTTCTTCAGGTGAGTCTTATGCAGGTTAGAATTTAGGAACTATTAATACATAAGTATACTTAGCATTCAACTGTGCTCAAATCACACCTTATATTCTTTTCCCTCAAATATATCAAACACCTTACTCACCAGTCCACTTATTCACTATTCATTCAATAACATAAAATAAACCAGACACATTCACCTCTTTGAAGGGCTTCCAGTTGACAGCTATAGTACTTCTGTCTTTTCCTCCCTGTGTTCCCTCCACAACTGTCAACCCATCTGAATCCTACACTTTCTTTAAGTTAGCTTAAATACCATTACCTTCAGGAAAGCTTCCATAATCCCCATAAATCAGAATTAAAGGTATAAGCCATGGTATTTTGCTTATACCTGTACATATTACCTCCTTCATTTCATAGTTGCCCTATGTCCTCCAGGGGATATCCATACTAATTAGATGGCAAATATCCTCTTGCCTGCCCCATTCAAACCCTATCTGCCCCTTACCTGAATGTTTCTTTTATATAAGAGTTCCTTCTTAAGTGAAAGGAGAAACATAATATCCATAAATTCCATAAACATTTAAGGAAATCATAATGTAGTAAATTATTAATAGTATCAAATATATTAGCTGAAAATATATAATTTTTATCCTATAGCACATTTTATTTGACATTTTATATATAACAATTATCAATTGTGTCCCTAAAGTATAAGATACATAAAAAAAGTACAATTTTTTTTAATGAGCTGAGATAAATATTTACCTGCTGAAATCCCAGATAATCTTGTATAGTAGAAGAAGCATAAAAGACCAAGGCATCTGTAGTGACAACCAACACAAAGCCATTCAGAGCCTACCGAGAAAAAAGTTATAAAATCAGTAATGTGACTAATATTGTCACTCATTAATACTGACTTCAACTAAGGCTGTTACTTTTATTGCTAAAAACTCTTCTCTTTAAAACGGCTAAAATGATTACAAATCACACACACACACACACACACACACACACACTCACAGACATACCACATATCTGGGGAATGGAGCCCTACATGCTGCTGCAGAGCAAATGGAAGTGGAATGCGACGCTGGGTGACTTCTAACTCAAAATGGACTGGAAATAATTAAACAACTCATGAATGGATTCTCCATTTGCAACTGTCATCCTAATTATAAGGAACTATATTTATTAAAATTTACCTGTAATAAGAATTCTCCTTCATGAAAGTTCAGGCCTTCCCCAAATTTTGTTCTACAGTTATCCTGGATTCCATTTCTGTCAGTTGGGGAGGATTTTAATGCAACTATGGAAAAACAATAATACAGTCAGTAGTTTTACAAATAAGTGGTTTCCAAGGGCTCTGAGGGAACACCTCTATACACTAAACCAAACCAAACAAAACACACAAAAAAGGAAATACTGGTGTGTACTGTAATGACAGTAAATAATCCTTTGCCAATGGTTGATTTCCAACTCAGATGACAGAGTCTTCAAAATAATTTTTAATGGATTCCCTATATAATTTTTGGAATATAACTTAGGAGTTTCAAAGAATTGCATGGTGCAGCTATAAATACTCCTCCCATTCCCATATACTTATGAGAATAAGGCTCATCAGAACATAACCTATAAAAATGATTTTAATACCTACAAATAATATTCTAAACATCAACAAACTAGTGGTGGTAAAGAGAAAGAATCAACCATACACCTTATCAAGAAATATATTTCCATTAAGTTTAGAATGTCTTGACTGTTTTGGGGGTAAAAACTGTCAGTACGTTAAACGTTAAATCTATAAATCAACTCCTGAAGAATTATCATATTTATGATGTTGAATCATTCTATCCAAGAACATGTATGTTTTTCCATTGGCTCAAGTCTATATTGTTTATCCCACGAGAGTGTATTAAAGTCATCCACAATAAAGATTCACACATTAATTTTTTGTGTTTAATCCTAAGTATCAGACATTTGTAAGTGCTATCTCCTTCATTACTATCTTCTATCTAATTGTGAATAATACAGGGTGTCCCCCAAAAATGTACACACGCTTTTTTCCAATAGCTCAGTTGATGTTTGTTACTTTTTATATTTAACCCATGGGATTAATAATTACTCAAAGTGTATATACATTTTTGGGGATACCCTATATATATATATGAAAGGAAGGCTGACGGCATGGTGGGATGCTTACTACTAGCAGTGGCATACTGTAATGTTTTTCTCATTTTCCCCCCTCCCATCTCTCTTTCTCATTGTGTGTGTGCACACACATGCATGTGTGTATTTGTAGTCTGGGAGGCAACAGCTGAACAGAAATAATAACACTATTTACCTATTTAGAACTTTTCCAAGCACTCTCAAATATTATCTTATTTAGAAGCATGTGAATGTTGGTGTCTGACATAATTAAGTTCACATCTTAGCTGTGCCACTTAACATGTGAGCTCTTGCAGCCTGTCTCCTAATATGTGAAGTGATAGCTGAAATAAACCAACCAACCATCCTGCAGGATTGCTGTGAAGAATAATGAGCATGTAAGTGAAGTTCCTGGCATATGTTCAATAAATGGAAGCTTTAATGATTAGCTCCATTTCCAGAGCTTATGGATTGACTAGTTACAATGTATAACCATTTAGATACAGCCACAGTATCTTTCCACTTTTCTATTCTCTTTTAACCTGTGATATTTAAATAAGATAAACCATTAAACAAAACTGAATTTGACTTTACTTTCAAGACTTCTGATTTCAATAGACTTATGTGAGAAAGATAATGAGGCTTGGTGAAAAACTAGAGACTTACTATTAACCAGCTTTTCTCTCGGTCTGAGCAAAGCACCCTATATAATAAAAGCGTAATATGCTACGTCCGACTGAGGTCAGACCACTCGACCCATAGCTATGATGTGCAATGACCACTAGGGGGCAGACGCTCCGACAGGCAGGTTAGCTTGCTGCTGGGGTCTGGCCAATCAGGACTGAGTGGCCAATCGGAACTGAGCAAGAGGGCCAAACACGCCCTGGAGCCCTCCTGAGGTCTCTCCGTGGCCAGCTGGCCCCCATCAGGACTGGCCAAGATTGCGCCTAATCGCAGGCCAGGCCGAGGGACCCCACCCATGCACAAATTCATGCACCGGGGCACTAGTCATATAAAATCGTTTCTTGCTTGAAGTATACGTTCTGTTAAATCATCAAGCGCATGTGTCACACTGGAATCTCATGCCAAGTTCTTGCCTTTGCAGAACCTGAAACATAAAAGTTTGGCCTCTGCATATAACAACTGCAAAAGGCCAGAGAACAGATTTCCTTAGGCCAAAAAAATACTTTGAGGTAAATTAATTGATCTAACAGTTAATCAAGACCAAAGGAAATGCTTAATCTCTTCTCGAGGAAAAGACTTTTTCTCTTTTTGTATTCTGTAAGTTTTGTTATTGCTGTTTGCTTTCTCATGGCCAAATTTGCTTAAATGCATTAAAAACCTCATGATGTCAGGGTTAACTCCACTTCCTTTCCAAAATTTCCAGTATGTGGCACAATTTAAGAGTTATACCAAATATTAGTAAGTTTTCTATTAAAATGATATAAAAAATGTACACACAAAACTAAAACTCTTTAGGAAACAATCTTGAAAATTGACACACTTAAACTCTCTAAATTATCTTAGTAGGGATCTTTTAAAATTAATTTTTAATCAACAGAATTGATGTTAGTTCCAACCAGAGTTATTGAGCCACTGGGAAGATGAATAAGAAATGAAAGAAACTATTCATCTCAAAGTAATTTACAATTTGTTTTTGGCCTTGTATTGGGGATATTAGCCAATGTAATTAGACATTAGACTGCCTTTAAGTAGGGAATCTAAGCTATGGAAATAAAGAACTAGAAAAGAATGTCAAAAATATTAAGCACCAAATGAGATTTAATTAAAGTATTACAGGAACTTGAGACAGAAGAGACTTGTTCTAAACAGCAGCGCCTACCATTCTAAATGTTGGCAGGATATTTTAATATGTACTACTACTGCATAAGTAGGAAAAGTGACAAGTACATTTTGGGGAAGGATCACTAGAGGGCACTTGGAAAAACAAACAAATGTTTCTGTTGCTTTCATATTCAAGGTTAATAATCAATAAAGGATTTAAGTAAATATTTTGCAAAGCTGAGTCCAGGAAGGGTGAACTCCCTTTCCATTGTCATTTAAAATGTCATGTTTTAGAAAACTTATTTTATGTCCTGGCCTTTCAACTCCAGCTATGTAATTTATGCCTTCCATGAAGTTTGATCTCTCAGATATCATACCTACTACCTCTCCCTTCTTAAAATTACTAGAAGCTATAGTAATATACTCATTTTCACATCCATTTCATGTCTTGATTAGAAAGCAACAGAAGAGTCAGAAAGTGACCTAGGGGACTGTCATCAGTGCCTCTTCCTAGCATCTGAGTGGCCGTGAGTAATTTCCTCTGTAGTAATATCCCTACTGAGCACACATTGTATGTCAAGTCGTTTGCATGTGTATTATATCTTATTTAATCTTCTTA